GCCAGCGAGGGCAGTACTGCATCAACTTCTGCTGACAGCACCAGCCACTCCCATCCATTATCCACGGCCTGCCGAAAGTCCGTAGACAATCGCTGCAACGTGAGCTTGCCGTTGTCCGACACCGTCTCTTGGTCCGAGGGACATGCTGCAATGCAGGCACGGCAAAATGCCGTAAAGTGACTGCATGCTAACGACATGTATCGCTCATCGCCTCGCACCTCAGCTAGCAGCCCTCCATTCATATCCACTTGCCGCTTGTTGAAACTAAAGGCCTTTTGGCTCAGAGCTCTATCCGTGGATATTTCCATGCAAACACTTCGCTTCAGCTCCATGGAGCTGAAGCCTACAGATTGCACTTGGGCCCCTGTCTTGTGAACTTGGGCTCCATTCAATCCTAACCCTGAGCGATTCGACGGGTGCACCAGGACTTGACCCGGCCGCAGCACCTGCCTGTAGCACTTCCTGCTCTCCTGCAGGATAGTTTCGATCTCCGTCCATCTCTCCAATGCCGGAGCATCTTTCTTCAATGCCTGCTCCACGGCCGTAGCCCAGGCAGGCTTCATCTTTTCCAAGTTCTCTTGAAAAAAAACGGCTGCATGGCAACAGGATATGCATTTCTTGTCCGCCCTGCCCCCCCCCCCCTGTATACACGAAACACCCTTGAAACACAAGTCATTTACGTGCCTAACATAGTCATTTCCCTATATAAGAACTGTACTTCAAAAAGTTATGTTAACTTAGCTAAACTTTAGCTAAACCCCCTAACCTTTGTAAATGTTTAACATACTTACACCACTTATGTAAACACTTAGCTAAGTCTCTTAACAGTTGTATTTGTTTATCACACTTATAAGTGATTTGCAATATAGATACAACCGGGTTGCAAGCTATTTAACAACATGCTTGCAATCTATATAAACACTTACAAAGCCACGGTTCTTCCCAGTATGCTTGCAACATAATTTACGGATGTGCGCGCGGCGGGTTGCGACGGGCGCGCAGGAGTACGTGTGGCGGTCGTTTACCACCCAAAACCAAATATACCCAGGGTACGCGCGCCGGGTGCGCACCGGCGCGCGCCGGGTGTGCAGCGGGCGCGCGCCGGGCGTGCAGCGGGTGCGCGCCGGGCGTGCCGGGCGTGATAATACAATTCTTTAGTCTGTTTGCAACGTGTACAGGTGTGCGCGCCGGGAGTTGAGGCGAACGCGCTCCGGGCGCACAGGCGTACGCGTGCCGGGCGCGCAATCTTGTAGTGGTACCGGCCGGATGTTTAGGGTTTAGGGTTTATGCAAACATGAGCAGGCTTTACCGGACGAGCCTCCAAACACAATGTCGATCTTGCCAGCGAATTTGGCATGAAGAAGGCTTGACCTCAGGTCGACGAGTTCAGGGTTTAGGTCCAGCAATTTAGTAAGGCACGTCAAGCAATTTGTTAAGCAAGTGACACGTTTTTTCTCGCCATTGCTGGTTTATTGTGAGACTGTGTATCCGTACATCAGTCCCTTTCAATTTTCTGAGACTGCGTATACGTACAGTCCGTCTATACGTTGAGGACTCTTCCATGCCTGCGAAGCAGAAACCAAAGCTGATCTCTGTACGTGTCCCGCATGCCCAGCAACGCCATTGACAGGAGTCTCAGCGAACAGTGGACGGATGACCTCGCAGTATTGAACTGCCATCCGTCTAGCGTCCGTCACTGGAATCCGTTCAAACTCAAACGAGTTGGCCAGAATGCCCTCGCAAAGCCTTTCCATGGTTCCTCGATCAGGCAAATCCCAATCCCAGCCGGGAGGCTGCTCAACCAAGCCCCGCAATCTCTCTGCATCTACCGGGTTCACTTCCATTTGCAACTTTCCTTGGAGTACGTCGCATTGTCGAACCATGCGTACTTTCTGTATTGTTGGAATCCGTTCCTGTACACCTGCTTCCACAATATCACCTGCAGAGGATCCGCGTCTGTTGTGCCTGGTTTCGAAGTGCTGTAGCAAACTTCGTAGTTGCCGATCGTTCAAAGCCCGCTCCATTTGCCATCCTATTGACAAGTTCATCATGACACATCCCAGCACCAGGTCGATGCAGATTCGATGGAATTCTTCTCTCGTAAACATGTTTCCTTCCATTTGCGTAGTGGCATCGGCAGCGGAACCATCGCTATCATCCGAATAATAAGAACTCGTTCGATCGTCATCGTCACTTCCTTCAGGTCCATGAAGCCTGCCAAAATCAGTTCGATCCATTGCTGCAATTCCGTGGCAGTACGTCGAACTGGGGCACTTCTTTCCTAGTCTTGTCTTTGACGATCTGCGTGTATGCGCATGTCAATAATACTGCCTTGTTTGCATCAGGACAATCGCCTCAGTCGGAGTACACTCGCTCAGACAAAAACGGTTCGATCGCGTTGAATCTTGAGCTGAAAGGCTGCTGCAGTCCAACATGTTGAGCTTGGAAGCAACCCATGGTGCAGCCGTCAAGTCTTGGAATGCCGTGTGGCTTAGGCCGGGGCTCTTCGAGGATCTCGATGCGCAGACTGTCTCAGCCTGGTGGCCGCTGACAGACTGAAAGTGAGCAGAGGGATACTGATGCCATGCATGACTTTCCTTATCACTCCTTGCTGCCTGCTCATTCCTCGCATCTACAGTCACACCCTCATCTTGATCATTCCTTCTTCCTTCCCTGCTTCCTTCCTTCCTTGCTTCCTTCCTTGCTTCGTTAATTACTTTCGCTGTGTCTCTCTCTCTCTCTCTCTCTGCATCTGTCTTTGAGGGTCCGGCTCACCCCTGCTCGGGGTTCATCCTCACCCCTGTTCGGGGTTCATCCACACCCCTGCGTGGGGTTCTCACGACCCCTGTTCGGGGTCCAGGCTCACCCCTTTTTCGGGGTTCATCGGTACGCCCGCTCTAACGACCCCTGTTCGGGGTCCAAGCTCACCCCTGTTGGGGGCCCTGCACGGGGTTCTCACGACCCCTGTTCGGGGTCCAGGCTCACCCCTTTTCGGGGTTCATCCCGCAGCCCCATTCGGCCTTGGTGCGGGTACGCCCCTGTAGGGGGCTCCGACGACCCCTGTTCGGGGTCCAAGCTCACCCCTATTCGGGGTTCATCCCGCGGCCCACTCAGGCCTTGGCGCTGGTACGCCCCTGTACTCCTGATGTGGCCACCTGACATCCTGACAGGGCCTGCACGAATGCCTACAACTACTTTTGCCTGCTACCTTTTAGGGTTTAGGGTTGAAGGTTAGTTTAGGGTTTCGGGTTTTGGATTTAGGGTTCAGGGTTTAGGGGTTTAGGGGTTAGGGGTTTAGGGGTTTTAAACCTCTTTCCTCATAATGCCTCCTTACCTACATGCCCGCCTACCTAGCTATCTATCTACCTACCTACCGACCTGGAAGCCTGCCGACGCACCTACACCTACAAGTACCTTCCCTCCTGCCTATCTACTTATCCATACCTACTTGCCTACCTAACTATACCTCTCTACCTACCTGTGTGCCCCTTCCTACCTGCAGCTTCTGGGCTTGAATGGGTGGGCGGGTTTGGGGGTTGGGTGGGTTTTTTTGACACTCACACTCGGACAAAGCCTGGCAAGGTCTGTAGCGATCCTGGGTGGGTTTAGAGTTTAGGGTTCAGGGTTTAGGGCATGGGCTGGACGTTACGAAAGTTCAGATTCCCTTCATGTTTAATCATGAACATGCTAATTTTCAAGTCGTTGTGAATCGTACAAACAGCTGACTTTAGGGTTTCAGAACACAAAATCTCAAGCTTTTTGTTTCCGTTGAGCCACAAGAACACCAAGTTACATTTGTTTGGTTTGTTCGGCATAAACGTATTTTCAAATTTTTTGGCAACTTTAATTTCCATGTGAATTACAAAACTTGGGACAGGCAATTATGTCAGTATGGACATTTCGATCAAACCAAGTTTCAGGCATTGATTTTTCTATCGAGCCACAAGCACACATCTTTTTATACATGTCCAGCATCTCGGTTCTTCCATATAGAGCGACAAGAACACAGTTTTTCAGGTATGCATCTCCATTTGGAAGAGACCAAGTTTTCAGGTCTTGTTTTTCCATTGAGCCGCAAGAACACAAGTTTTCACATGTCCAGCATGTTTTCCATTGAGCCACAAGAACACATGTCTTGCTACATTCCATGTCACATCAACATAATAAGTCCTAGGACCCGGTTCCATAATGGAAAGGACCCGGTTAGCCCCGGACTGGCATATAAGACACGACCAACAATGCGGGAGGTCAACCAGTGACGTTAGCAAATGCCTGTTGATATCAACCACAATTTCTTACATGCAAAAAGTTTACCAACAAAATGGAGGAAAAACATGACCCCCGTTCAGCCGCATTTCTCGATAGCAACAAGTTCGCGTGTGGTAGTTCGGAAGTGCTATCTCTTTGAACCTGTGGTGTGCTCAAAAGCAGAAGGGATCGGCTGCGTATAGTCTAATGCAGTTACACATACTTCCACATGTGTATGCACCCCCGACTGGTACGGCAAGATGCTATAATGTGTATATATATATATATATATGTATATGTATATGTATGTATGTATACTCTCTCTCTCTCTCTCTGTCTCTCTTTCCTGGCATGCGGATGCAGTGCGGATGCGGGCATCCGCTTCGGTGCACCGGGTCTGATGGCCACTGGTGGGCTCTGAAACCGAACTAAACAAACCACAACAAACCTACAACACCAAACACCATTGAATTGGAACGATAATCATAGGGCGCTACAGCAGTTTTTGAAACTTTGTACCATCAAGGTCGATTCGCTCAGTATTGATGAGTTTGTAGAGTAATAACCGAAAACCACACTGGGAAACATAGGCATGCTTTTTCTGTTCCTGGCTGAAGCAGAACACGTGCAGTAGCAGGTGCTGCCCCGAGTCAAACCCGGAAGTTGCTGTGACCAGTGGAAAAATGCAGCATCCAGGCAATCACGCAGGTAGCAGGAAGGCAGAAACAGCAAATCAAAACGGCAACAGTCGGTTACACTCTTCGGAGCGAGACAGAGATGCTCTCCGCGCTCTCTCTTCTCTCTCTCTCTCTCCGTCGCTGAGGCTGGGCCTCTCCGAGCTCCTCTGCTGCGACCTCGGCTTTCGGCGGGGGGGCCGCGGGGCGGGGATGCGGCAACTTCGGCTTGGCCGCTTGGCTTCGCTGCCGAGGGGCGTTGAGGAACTCGCAGCAGAGCTCCTTGTCGTCGTTCTCCGTGAGCTGCATCTCCGCGCCCAGGCGCGCCTCGATCCAAGTCCGCAGCATCTTCGCCGGCAGAAAGCCCAGAGCCCTCTTCACCTCAGCACTGCGCAGCACCCTTCGCGCAGGTAAAGGTGGCTTATAAGCCCACCGGCCTTGGGATGCTCGGCCAAGTACAGCAAGCTCACCTCGCCTGACACTGAGCAAGCGCTAAGCAAGCTGCAGCCAAATTGCAGCAAAACAAACCCAAAGCCACTGAGAAGTCTCTGCCAGTGTGGTGCTACTACCCGCTGAGCTGCGCTGGTCGCTGGATGTCAAGTCTCGCCAGGCTTCGAACAGCTTTTCTCGCAAGATGTTCTCTTCTTGCGTGAAGTCGTCCGGCGGTAGGCTTGACAGGAAGGCTTCTGAATCTTCCTCCATGCCCATGGCCCCGTGGTCGTGGTTGAGTAAGCGCACTCCCACCTGAAAGCTTCGCAGTCGCAAGACGGGCCACTTTTGAAGCTATACTGCTCTGGGCGTTTACCCCACCTCCGATCCGAAGGCGCCATGCACCACTTCCACCTGCTCGCAAGTCACCGAGTCACCGAGTCAGCGTCTTGGCACGTCTTGGCCTCTGCTCCGATGCGATTCTCGATCCAAGCGGTGAGTCGGATCCCACGCGGCCATTCGAGCATCGCCTTTCTGCGGCCTCCGCGCCCCGCGCCCCCCCCACCAGTGAAAAAGGAAGCGTGTAGCGCAGCAGCTGCGAGCTTGGCCACCGGCAAAACTCCCGATCCGAGGCGATGGGAGACAGCTTCGCCTTAGAAGACTCTGGCCTGGAAGCTGAGCCTCCGCCGAGCAATCTCTGCAGCAAGGGCCCGGCGATCTCCTTGCCCTGGCAAAGTCACAAGACGTGGGGAAGTGCACGGATTGCAGGGCTGGGGGCAATGCTGGGCAATGCTGGGCAGCTGGACCTTCAAAGCCTCGACCAACAAGTCACGCAGGTCCAGCTCCGGGTTGGTGAGGTGATCCTCTGCGCTGCTGAAAAGCAGGGAGCCGCAGCGCGGAGCACGGCTCCCGTCAACACCCCCCGCTTCTTAGCTCCTGTGGCAAGCTGTCGAAGAAAGCGTCCTGCTTCTCCCTGCGATCCTGTAGAGAGCCGGCCATCCCACGGCTGGTGACAGCTAAGAAGAAGATCTCTCGGAGCCCTCTGACGCTGGCGTCTCCGGCCTCCTGCGGTGGATCCTCAGGGCCTGCGCCGTTCGCGCTGGGATCAGCGCCCTTCCCGCTCCTGCAGGGTGTAGGGAGGATGCGGAAAGCTGGCGGAAAGGAGGCCCCGTTAAGCGCGGCCTTCCACCACCGGGTGGTGGTCGCGCCTTAGGCGCTTTTGGTGGCCCAACCATGGCACCGGAGGAACTCCCTGCGACCCGCTACCAGCCGCTACCAGCCGCTGCAAGCTGCACTGCACGGGCGCCGCGGGCTCTGGCATCGTTTCGGTTCTTCCCCTCCGACCCCAGAGCTGTTGTGCCTTCTTGGAGTCATTTAGGATGATGTGGCCCATGACAAGTTCATCCTCCAATGTCTTGCGATGCCAGTAGCTTGTGCACCGTCCCAAGCTCCAGGCAGGGTTCAGGAAGTTGAAGAGAGGCCAATGAACCGCAATTGGGTTGAGGAACTTGTTGACCTCCCAAAAGATGCCAAGCAGGAGTCGAGTCTCAGAAGAGGCAGGAGGCCTGTCTCTCCTTCACCAGTCCTGCAGAAAGAGGCGCGCTTAAGAAAGGAAGTTGGAGCCGGGGAGCCGGGCCGGGACAGCCGGGCCGGAGCGGTCCTGCGTGGGGCTCCTGCCAAGACGAGAGATGGAAGGGCCTCGGAGCGGAGCGCAGTCTCGGAGCGCAGTCTCGGAGCGCAGTGTGGCAGCGACTTTGAAAGTGTTTTTGGCTCCAGCCTGAGATTCGCAGCTGACTTGTCGTCGAGTGGAGGGCCTGAGCCGACCAGGCGAAAGGCAAAGCGGCAAAGCCAAAAGCGTTCGCGTCTTCTGGACCATAGGGCCTTCTGCTGAAACTCTCTTCTGGGGCACAGCAAAGCAGGCGCCAGCAAGGGCTGCCAGCCCCTGGAAGCAAAGCCAGAGCGACGCGTCTCTGGAAGCTGGGCCCCGCCCAAGCGGGCCCAAAGCGTGCGGCCTGCTGGCACCTCCGGACACCGGCGGACGTCGCCATTCGGGACGGCAGCTTACGGGTCACTAAGACGTCCAAACCCGCGCTGCCGAGAAAGGCGAAGGATCCGCGGCTGCCGCAGCTCGAGAAGAGCGCAGCGCAACAAACACCCAAGGAGACCTGCCTGTCCTCTCTCGACTTTCCGAACCCCACCCCTTCACGGGCACGTGCAGCAGCTCGCAGCAGCATGCTTCGCCATCCGCTTCACTTCTTGCTGCCGCGCTTTTGTGCCAAAGGCCAGCTTGCACATGCTGCACCGGCTGCTTCACCGGGGCATGGTGAAAACCTAAGGACTGCCACAATCATGGCAGTGAAGCTCTGGACGGTACGGGCCACCAGGGCCTACTTGTGAAACACGGCTTGCATGTGATCCCAAATGAGAGCTTGACTTCCAAGAACACGCTCCACGTCAAAATAGAACTCGGTTACATGCATTTCATCACTGCGTGGTGGCGGACAGGTGAAGTTCAGGGAAAAACCAAGCCTTAGCCACAAGACAGCCCCTTCCATGTCCATCGAAAACAAGGGAGACATGCGAATTTCGTCCGAAGGAAGGGGCACTTCTTTCGTTACGCGTCCTCCGGCCGGAACTTCAAGCACGTAGTCCACACCCGTTACCAAGTTTTGCCTGAAGCTGGAATTGGTGGCTTTGGTGGCTTGGCGGCCCAGCTCCTGCGACATGACACAGACGGCCCACGTGCCTGTGATTCCAGGTCTTCTGCTGAAAGATGGTTCCCCTGCGCAGGGCGATCTGCAGGGTTTCGGAGGACAGCGACCTGCCAGCGCTGAAGCAAGCGCATGATTCCAAAATCCTATATCTTGCCGCTTCAGATTCAGATAAAAGCCCTGCCTTAGGGTCACCTTCAGGTTGTTCACACCGAGACCATCAGCAACCACCTGCTCCAAAAGGACCAACCCTGCGCCGAGCGCTGCCAGGAGGTCCTCCGCGAGCAGTGCCGCACAACGCCACCCCGGTCCCTCCGGTCCCTCCCTCGTGCAGCCCTCGCAGCCCTCGCCTCGCCGACCCGAGGCGCAAGCCGCTCCTCCGCCTGCGCGTCGCTCTTGCGTGGCGGCCGTGCGCAAGGCCTTTCGCTTCGCGGCCCTTCTGCTTCCTTTGGCCTTCTGGAAAGCGAAGTAGGCGGGAGCTTTCAGCTCCGTGCCAGCCAGAAAACCTGAGCTTTGCTGCGCTCTGAAAATCAAGTCTCGCTCCGTGTCAGGCGAGGCGGCAACTCAGGTGGGCCATCAGCTGACCGCTTGCCACTCCAGGAGCTTGCTGGCCGGAGTCGTACTCCTCTCGGGCCTTAGGCCAAGCCGCTAAACTTAGAGTTCTCCGAGCCATTCAAGCAAACGTCGCGTCGAACCTGCTCGGCCAATGCCCGCATTCGCTGTTGCTCGGATGCCCAGGCCGCCTGCTCGTGTTGGAATACCGGAGAAGCTATGCTGCTATACTGTCCCCGAGCTCGCCTCCCACTCTTCACGATTTCGGTACACGTCTCCCCTGACTTGTGCGCTGGGAACCACGCCCTCCCAAAGCATGAATCCTCGGCCGCAGGTGCAAAGGACCTGCGTTGCAAAAACTCCGAAGCCCACTGAGGCCTGGCACCTAAGAGTTTCGGGCTGCGCCGCGGGTCGGCTCCGAAAGCGTTCACGAAAGCTCGTGGCAGTGGTCTTCCTGTTTGTCGGCATCAGGAGGGCAGAACATCCATGCCAGCAGAACACCAATGGTATCATATGTGCACCCACGGAATTTTGTAATAGTCGACATCACCACGAAACCTTTTCAGAGGGTCGGCAGTAGCCCACCAGCACAACGACGAAATATGTCCCCTTTTGTCCCAGAGGGTATTGCCGTCCCAACACCTCGGAGGAATCATTTACCACCACACGTAGCGAAAGGGTTTGGGTTGCAGGATGGTTTCGGTGTAACGCCATGGACACTTGGAAGAGTAAGAAGGACAGGTTATGAATAGTAAAACCATGCACACTGCTAAGAGCACTAGCAAGCAGCAACAATTGCAACAGCAGCAGCGACAACGAGAACGACAACAGCAACACCCGCCCCTACCCGACACCACCAGCACCAACGCCACGCAGTGACCACTGCGTGGCGACATTCGAACGACGACCGCAACAACAACATTTCATTCACACGCAGCAAGAGACGATCTGTGGGAGTGAAAGTCTTCCTCGCCGTGCGAGTGCACGACTCCATGGCGGCTCTGTTTGGCAGGCTCTAATTACTCTAGTTCGGGCAGCAACTCAACACTTTGCTTCGCGACAATGCTTCACTCAGCATCCAGCATGCTCCTCCTAAAAGCCGCTACCAGCTGCGAGATTTGACAATGTTGGTGCGGGAAATCGGACTGGGCTCATGTTCGGGAACTCGTTCGGGAGTACCTCCCTGGGAGTAAGTCCTCACGTGAACTTTGCAGTGATCTAGTTCTCGGGTGAGCCAAGAACTTATTTGCCTGCATGCGAGCCGTCGGTCTTTTCAGAAAGGTATGATGCCACTGCAAGGTAGACTTCAAGAAAAACGCGCGGCAATGGATTCCAATGCCGAGCTCTTGTCTTGCTTTCCAGAACCCCACCGTGTGCGACAGTGGACAGTGGAACCCACTCCAGAACCCACACCGCCGCACTGGCGAAGTGTGACCCAATTTCGCCGCCAATATCCAAGAAGGGAGCATGCAGCCATTTCCGGCCAGCAAGCCAGGCCAGCCAGGGAGTCATCACGATTGTGGAAGCTCACGGCTCAAGAAAGCGCCACAGCTTCTCCTGCAGCTGGTCAAAGAGGCATCGGCCCGCGTTCTGGCGCAACCTTTTTCCACGGGATGCACTGGGGATGTAGACGAGCCGAGCGCGAATGTTTGCAGCCAACGTGTACTAAGCAAAAGACCTCAGTGACGTTTGATGCTCTTCGGATGTGTTGCGGCCCTTGGCCGAAGCTCCTACCATAACCTTGGCATCCACAAGGAAAGGCTCCTTCGAGTGATGGTACTTCCACTGGCAGGCAATCCCTTCTAGTCATTCTAGTCCAAGCAATAGCCCATGCATGTCAAGCACCCCTGAATGTGCAGGCCACTTCGCTTTGGAGCAAACGATGTTGACAAAATCCAGCTCGGTGTGTCTGAGTCGTCTCGGGTTTCCGAGCCGAGGTATCTCACATGGATCATCCGGCATGGAAGTGAAAAGCACGTAGTCGCCCCCCCCCCCGCCTATCAGCCATGAGGCACACTTCAGAGCTTTCCTCTGCGGTGCAACTGCAGGCACAACAAAACCGGACTCCGGGCAAGCCTCTGTTGCTGTGAGGATGTTCAGCGGCAGCCGTTCTAGGTTGGCAATAAGCAGGGGAGCCAACAACAGGACAGGCAGTCAAAAAGCTCATTGAGTGCAATCTAGGAAACATGCTGGACCTCGAACTCCGACTTCTGTTGCGAACTGGTGCACTCCATCATATATACTGAAGCAACCCCGCTGCAACAAGCTGAGCCACTCCGAAACTCCCAACAAACCGTGTACGGCTCGTGGGCTGGCGTAAGGGTTTGTCAACAACTCCAGGTTTTGCAGACAGTTTCGCTTTAGCGTTTCCTGGATGGCTCGGCTCGAGCTTTGCTGTTGTACAAATCGTATGCAAGACCAGTCACTTCAGAGGCGAGGGGTGAAATCCCTGGCACAGTTCCTTGGGATACCATGCTTTGGGAAGGTCTCGTCCAGTCGCTAAGTGTCTCCCTGCCGCGTTTAGGGTCCCGGTGCAAGAAGATAGTATCATCTGTTGCGACCATGCAAAGCTCTTGCTGGCAGGGAGGCGGTTCACATTCACGGCTCAGGATGTTCGGCTGCCATCACCGTCGCCAAGGTAGTATCCTTTGGGCACGCGGCATGAACAGGAAAAGTTGAATGCTATCAGGCTATCGTCTACAGGGTCGCCATCAAGGTCGTCGCAGGCATCTGCCACACATTCCAGGCTGAAGCCGGCCTTGGCTGGCTCTTCTGCGTTTAGCGGCGGCTGTGGAAACCATCTGCAGATTCTTGGGGGCCTCCAGAAGATGAAAGAAGGTAGAGGCAGCGCGGGCGGAGCAGCAGCCATCTCGGGCCGTTCCCGATCTTTCGCTGTCGTCCGTTGGTTTTGCCCGCAGCAATCACATCAGCAGCTCCTTTGATGCGTTTTTGTAGACGGACCTTCATTCAGTCAGAAATTGTTAAACTATAATGTACTCAGTCCGTTTAGGGCCCTCAACGTCGTCCAAACCAGGAAATGACTTCTGACCAGAAAACGAATGTCGGTGCTCCAGGGGTCGCAGGATGCAGCGTCGGTTGGCAGGTCAATGCAGTAACTTCGTACGTCCCCATAGATTAGGTCCCCACTCTTTGCCGACTCAGAGAAAAAACCGGGCCTTGTCGTCTTGCTAGTGCCATCTTTCGAGATGTATTCCCTGTGCGCGACAAATCGCTTCTTTGTGTTGAGAAGGACGGCTGCCCCGATTTCCGCAGGGGAATACTTGGCCAGTCCTTTACTAACAACTGCGTCCAGGGGGACGAATTCTGTGGCATGACCACGACAAGCATCAGGATCCATCTTCCAATCTTATACATCTTGCTGATGATGTGAAAGCTAACCTCTAGGACTCTAGGGAGAGGCGTGTAACGTTCGAGAAGTTAAGAACGGTACGTTCGTAATCATACCCACCTACGGGTGTAAGTACGATGCTGTCCAATATCTCCTGTAGGAGACCTGTCTGGAAATGCCAGGCACAATCTCTGGCAAACCCGTTTGGGTTACACCCGTTGGCGTTCCAGAGGTTTCCGTAATAGACGAGAGGCCTACGATCCCATGGTTCACACAGGAAACCTTCGTACATGGTTTCGCTGGCAACACATCACGCAAAGACTGGTCAAGACGTTGCGTGAAGCTTGATACCTGGCTTGCAATATGGCATTGTGCAGTCGAAGGTCGGCGACTGCAACAATTTGCAGCCGGAGTGCATTTCAACCCAACCTTCAAGGCAGTTAAGAGCAGCGATGCACAGGTTGGTCACGTAGAGGCATCCTCAGAAGCCACTGCTTACGTGCCAAAGTCAGGAGGCCAGACCTCAAGCTGTGCGCACTCCATGCACTGAGCATGAAGAAAGCGAGGCTGACAGGTCCAACAGCTTTGCCCAGGTCCGCTCAGTCTTCTGCTTGCTGTCCAACAGGCCGAACCGTGCCCACTTCAGTGCAAGCTTCTTCTGCCGCCAGACATTTCGCCATCGCCCAGCTGGCGAAGAGATCGAGGGCATGAAGCCGAACACACCATGTTTGGAAAGTGCCACCGTATCCGTTCCCGAAGGCGGCAAGTGGCAAATTCGTGAAAACTCGTGAGGCTTCCGGATAGCAGAACAATCCAACTACGTGGGTTCAGCCATTCAAGCATCAGGGTAGCTTCCTCTTATAAAGACTCTGAAGCGGCCAAAGCAGAAGACGGCAGCAGAGATTATGGTCGTAACACTCGTCGTTCGGTTTGCATCTGCCTCTGACGGTGTGAATCAGCAGCCTGAACACGTACAAACAGCAATATGCCCTCCATCCTGACTTTGGCGGCCCACTGCAGAAAGGAAGATGCTAACTGACGGTGCGAGTGTAGTGGCATAGCACTCTGCTGCAGACCTGAGCTGAGACTCAGGGTAGTGGCAGGATTTTCAATCTGCTGGAGGGAACCGGGGACTCAGGCTTTCAAGTTGCTGGCTCCTGTTGATAATCCCGCTCCCGGCGGTGCACCCGTTGTATCGATTTGCAGTGTTCAATCGTTTGAACTCGGTAATGAGGGCCCGACTGAAATTGGAGCGATGGGCTGAAACTGCGAGCTCAAAATATTTTGGATGTTGGAGCGCGTGTTGACTCACTTTTCTCACCCGATGCGTTGTCTCGCTTGCCGGTGTTTAGGTTCACACCAAGAAAGCTTGCAGGAGGAACCATGTCAGGGTGACGTTGTTGGTCGACCTGTAGAACCTGACAGCCTCGGCCACCGCTTTCTTCACATCCACATAGACCAGCGTGTTGCTGCTGCAGAGGCCAGGGGGTCATAGAAATGAGCATGCTGGCGAAGGGATAGTTTTGGACAAGTGGTCTTCTCAACGTCAGGCGTGACGTCTAAGGTAGAAACGTGAAGTCGTCCCACAAGCCTGACAAATCGGCTCTTCCTACTTGAATGCCTTTCTGGAGCCGCAAACTTTCTCAGGGTGATGTGTATGAACATGGCAGCGAAGAGCTCCCGTTCCACATAGCATTGCTCCGCAGACGTCACAATTGATAAGAGAAGAGAAAGTCTCCTCCACGTCTTCCAGAGACTGCTGAATACAAAGGTCTCGTGGTAGATACAGTGGCATTCTACAATGCTACCCGAGTCTTCCATTTGGCAAGCTACAAATGTCTTCATCTTTTCTACCAGTTGCGAGTTTGCAATTTGAAAGCGCTTCTCTTTGGTATCAAACCCTTTGACGCCTGGCAGGAGGCCCGAATCGTACGGCTGCCACATCGTACCGCGTGCAATGACCTTGGGG